AACTCTTGGGCTACTCTTTTACCAACGAATAGTGGGATTGACCGTCACATAATAACGCCCCCACGACTAAAAGGGCGAGCATGTTTGGCAGGAGGGGATGCGAACCCGCGACTCTCAGATTGCGAGTCGATCCAATAACACACCATCAATAATTCTTGTATAGAATTTGAATATAAATTTCATTTATTAGTTGTAGATTATTTATTGTATACGAAGAGAGAGAGAGATAGATCACATAAAATATTTAGTAATACAAAATCCCGCACGTAGTTACATACAATTTACAAATTATTTATTTGTTGTTTTTATAAACTTAATAATAAAAAACTATTTCCAAAGTAATTACATTGGAAATAGAGGGCAAGCTTGAACGATCATATGACTGATCGATCAACGCGTTTAAGTCTTGTCATAGAAGTTTATTTAATGTCGGTATATTCGAGTGTTATTGTTCGGGGCTGCTAGTCGAACTATAGTTTATTTTGTCTTCAATATAAAATTAAATTATCTTTTGATTTGCAGTACAAAGTTATTAACAATGGCTTTGAGTGATGCAGATGTTAAGAAACAGGTAACCATGTTTTAAATAATTTAGTACAAGCGCACTGACCTATTCATATTATCAAAAAATCTGGAATAGTTTTGACCTAACGTTAGGGTTAAAAAGTATAATAAAGACTCGAGACTGTGCGGGATATGTCAACCGCATGTCAGGAAACGATTAAAAAATACCGATCGACAGTTTCTTTTGCTCTGTGCCATGATACAGCAGCACGCCATTTCATGGATAGGATAAATTTTAATTAAACTTTTACAGTGTAAATTGCGAGTGGTTATACCACAAAACTAATACTTTTTTAATTCCATAACTACGAATTATGATTGCGACAGTGCAGTTTTCTATCAATGGTTATAACTTAGTTATATGTTATTACAAAGATTATTATTAGTATTAGTAATAATATTAGCACTGTTATTGTTAAATGTCATGGATGATCAGTTATCGTTTGTTTCAGAGTTAAAAGTTGAATTATGTTTCAAACTTTTTATATATTAGGAAAATATGAATAAGCTGGATCAACATCTAGTTTTATAGGTTTTCCTTCTCTAATTTTGAGGTTCCCCCTTTTTTTTTGAGCGGTGGGGATGTAAAACTGCAGCATCAAAAATGGAATGTATCAATATTCACTCATTAATTTTCTGAAATTCTGTTCATTATGACCAAAGCTTTTCTGTCCCAACATTTATTTCTCCTTGTGTTACAGTGCATTTATTATTGAATTACTGATGTATATTGTAGAGTGATCATGAGGTCTGTGTGATTAGCAGTATTTGCTAATCAATTAATTGATGCACTTGATTGTTTGATTAATCTACCAGTACAGTGTTACTGATACCATAGTATGTGTTTCCTCATCATCAAGCCAAAAAAGGAACATGGTGCATCAGCTTTAAGAGTTTGTGAACCACTGCATTATATGATATTATTCTTTCTATTTTAAACTAGTTTTTTCAAGTAGTTTTTGATTTACTCTTTATTTATTATGATAGACAACTCCCAGTCACAATTTCCACATATTTTAAAAATATGTGGACATTTCCTACATGACGAATTGCTGATGTCAACTAGAGATGACCATGCACTCAACATTTTGTTCATTTCAAAAATATGCAGTAATCCCTATTGATCTTGTGTAAATCAAATAAACTGATAATTAATGAAAGTGTTTTACTGTTGCTAATAATGGTAATGTTTTTGTTTAAAATGTTTCATGATTGCAATAAGATTTAAGTAACCAGCTAGCAAATTTATTTAGATATGTTGTTACAATATGTGTTAAACTAATATTCAGTAAAGAAGGTTTTGATCATCAGAATATTTTGCTGTTGCTTATCTGATTTAGTAGACATAAATAAAAATCCTTATTTTTTACAATTATTCTAATTCCAAATTAATGTACATGTTTGAAACAATTTTTTTAAAAAAATCAATAAATGTAAAAACCAAAGAATTCATCTTAAGGTTCAATTGAACAATGCAGCCCTTCCTCTAAACAAAGCACTGCTCAATCTACTATATTTACTCTTCAATGATGCAATAGTCTAAATCTTGCTATGAAAGTAATATTTAAACCTTATAGTTATATTCAAAGCTGTTTCATTAGTAAATGAATGATCAAACCATTTTATTTAAATTTAATTTAATTTTAATAAACTAAGCATAAAAAGACAAGGAAAATACTTGAAAAATCACAAAATGGATAATATACTCTCAAGAGGTTCTTAGCAAAGAGTTATAATTTGGCATAGACAGAAAAAATCCTAAAAAATTGACAAATGCATTGTTTATAGGCAAAACCATCAAACTTGTACACTTGTTGTAAATTAGAGATAATGGCTATCTTATTAGTTTTGTTGTAATAAAGACATGGTAAGCAAGTTTGGTGACAATGGGAATTGAACATAAAACTGGAATCTTGAACTTTCCACCCTTGAAGTAAAAAAACTTGTAACACTAAATTTGGGATATGATATCCACATTGGCCAGACCATAGATAATCCATTATGTTGCTTTGTGGTTAACAACAAACATAAGGTCAATGTTTTGATTACTTGGATAGTTGAACTAATCAAAAATAGTAATAATCAGAAACACTTAATTTTATTAATTGTTTTTTTTTACAGTCAATTTAATTATTATTTCAGTTGATTGTTTGTTTTAATAATTGAAAATATTAATTATCAGAAATCTTTATATTGATTTCTTAATTATTTTTGTGACAGTTGATTTAATCATTATTTCAGTTAATTGATTGTTGGAATAATCAAAAATCATAATAAAATAATTCCAAAACATGCAAAACTCCGCTGACACTAATAGCTATTTCTCAATCTTCATCTTTGCCATCTAACGTTGTGTTCACTTGTTCCAGTCTTTATATACCCCAATCGACTGACCTCGGCAATGTCTAATTTGCAAAACTTTATGCTGGGCCTCTCACACCCTCTTTGCAGGCACTGTATGCAGACAATAAAATCAGTTTTTCTTGACAAAGCACGAGCGTTCAGACTAACATTTTGTGAGTTACATTTTCTTAGTTTTTCTGCTTTGTAATAATCAGAAATTCTTTGTTTTGTTATCCAGAGATATATTTCATTGAATTTTTGTTTCTACAAATATATTACAAAAAAATTGATATGAATTCTCGTGTAATGGTTTCAAGCATGGAGGCTTCTCAGCCTTCGTTTATTCCCCCTTTGTTATCTAGTGGTGGTCAGCAGTCGGGGGAGGGGGCACTCTCTCTCTGTCTGGGACTTGATTCGGGGTGAGATCGAGTCGTTCATGTGGCCTAGGGGTATTTATCCAGGAGGTGCTGATTTCAATTTTCAATTCTGAAACGGGATATTCTGTCGTGAATTTAGAACTCCCTATTTCTTGCTCCTTTCACTAGAGCTTCCTCTCCTGAGGACTCATTTGATCATCCACCTTCTGCCCTTTTTTCTGTAGTTAGTTACACGTGTTTGTGAAGTTTTGGAGATGCAATCAGTTGCTTTTGAGTCGACCCCTGCTTTGTGGTCCGATTGTTCTCAAGGGAATTACTTAGTTTTCCATCCTTCTCCTGATATTGATGTGCATGCAGGGAGGTTTGCAACACAATTACGTGAGGGTGTCACTATGCCTTCCTCCCCTCATTTATCTGAACAACTTATGTTGACATATCATCAAGATGCTATATATTTGGACACTCAAAGGTTGGAACTGTGGGGTGCCAGGTACGAACCTGTTATCTCTTAACAGGTCGCAATTTTAGTGGATTTGTTTAAATCTTACTACTGTTTTAAGATACTTCTCTTCCTATCAACTTTGTCTGAAGCATATCACCGATTGCCTCAACAATATGAAGACAAACTGGGCCATTTACTGGTCACTATTATGACACGTTTGTCCTCTTTAGGACTTGCCTTGGTGTTGTGGTTAGTCTGTTGCTGGGACTTGTTGAGTCATGATGCATTTTTGGAGGGTATTCACTTACCTTCTTCTGCCCTTTGAGATTTACGTGAAGTGCCTTTTCTTCGGCCTTATTTATTTGCTGGAATTCCAGAATCTCTAGAAGCCAGAGTTGACACAGTACGTTTCCAGTCCTCTTTATCGTCTTTGGCTGCTCGACCTAATTCTACTTCTACTTGTACTTCTGCAGGTTCATCCCTTCATGTCTGAAGGCCCTCTCCTTCCACTCCTTATTCCATTGGTTCTCTTAATAATTTCCATCCTTGATCTCAGGAGATATTTTTTGGACTCCTCCTGACATGTTCATATCTCATTACCTTCATGATCTGGCAGTTTTCTCTTCGAAGGGACTTCGTCTTCCCCCTGTAGCTGTGTTGACTACCTTCATTATATTTTTAACAGGGTGGTGAGTAGTGTGTTATCTAACTTAGTTATTGTTCCTTTCTCTTCTAGGGTCCCTATTGATTTTTTTTGGATCCCACACAGTGACAAGTGTTGCCCAGTTGAGTATGCTTGTATTTAAATTCTGCACTAGCAACCTTTATATTTGTTCCTGGTTGCAATGAGCTCTATTGAGATGATGTGTTTCATAAGACCATCTGGATGCAATTCTGGATGGTGATACCATAATACTATATTTATAATGGACTGCTACTCATGGACTATCATGAGTAAAGCTAAAGGGGATTTTGACAGTCCGTGCTGATCTTAGAGCTGAATCAGTTGAGATCAGTTTGCTTTTAAAATTAGGAATGTGGTTCACTTGTTGCACTGTCTCCAGAGACGTGTTCCTCAGGACTCCCCAATGCTTATGTCCCCCCCCCCCTTCTTCTACTAGTGGAACTCAGAAGTTCTTACCACACCCAATTCCCAGTTGCTGGGGTGGTAGACAAGAGGATTTACCTTTGGAGTGTTGAATTTTCTCCACTCTTGGAGAAGAGGGTAAAGTTGGGGACCCTCCTACCTGGGTCCCTGGAAGTTTTTTCCCAGATGTCGGTAGGAGCAGGACCAACCTACGTGGGGGCTCACTTGTAAAACCAGTCCAGATTTGATGCTTAGCGATCTGGTGGGTGGATGCTTGTACCCTCTTATGAACACTGTCAGGTCTTATGTTGTTCATGCAGGGGTCCACTATCTCCTTGGTGGGACAGTGTTCCTCATCCTCTCCTTAATTCCATGGGTAAGTGGAATTCTCCTTGCACATTTGGTGGGGGAATAAAGACAACTGTTTGTAAATCCAGACTGGATGAATTCTGGACTTTGGTGGAGTATGGCATATGACCCCATCAATTCAGACCTGGGATGTTGCCTTTTGGACTTCCTCAGGTTGATCAGAAGGATTTTCCACTTTGGTGTTGCTTTCTTTCTTTCATAAATCTGGTGGTTCAAAATGCATCATTCTGGGATATGGGTACCATGACCCCTTAAATCCAACCCGAGTTGTGGTACCTCGGCTGTTTGGTCTAGGCTGGACCATCAAACTTGTATTATATTCCACACTTCAATTCTCTGTAGTTCTGGGTGAAGAGCATACCTGTTCTGGATGTAGTGTGGTGTTCCCCACTTTGATACCACTTCTTGTGGTACATATTTGTTCTCTGCAGATGCTTTCTGTATGATCTCTGTCCTCAGTGGCCCCTCTGCCTCTTCAGTGTGAGATTCTAGCTATTAGTGTCAGTGGAGGTATGTGTGTTTTGGAAGTTATCATTTTCCTAAACTGAAAATGTATTTCCTAACATACTTACCTCTGCTGACACTCTCCCTCCCTTCATCCCCACTGAGAGCTGCTGTTAGTGACCGGAATGTAGTAAGTCCTGAAAAGTGATTTTATTTTCTGCATACAGTGCTTATATATAGTACCTAGATAGAGGACGTGTGAGGGCCAGTGTATAGTTTTGCAAGTTAGATATTGCCTAGGGCAGTCGAGTGGTGTATATAAAGACTGGAGCAAGCGATCTCAATGTTAGATGACAAAGATAAAAATCGAGAAAAAAAAGCTATTAGTGTCAGCAGAGGTAAGTATGTTTGGAATTACATTTCCAGTTTAGGAAAATGATAACTTTAGATATTTTCACTATAACATAATTGATTTAATAGTAATTATGATAATTCAATAAGTTTACATGATACTAATTGATGTAATTGCTGTTTTTAGGTAATCCAATATATCAATTAAATTGCCCATCTTTAGTGATTATGTGGTGTCATTTATGAAAATAAATTTAGTATCTTAATGTTTCATTTGTAATATCTAGTATTTTAAGTGAGATAATTGTAATAAAGTAATTTTTATAATGAAAATATTAGATTTTCTGGGTTAGAAAGCAAATAAGATAAAAATAGAATTTTTTGAAGAGATATTTCCAAGTACAATATGTTTCATCAGAGAAACATAAACAGTATATTGAGCATTGATTGGAGTTGATGTGACGTAGCAAACAATATACAAGACTTCATAAAACAATCGCTATGTATGAAAATATAATGTTTCATAAAACCATAAAATGTAAATGCTCTCATTGTTAAGTAAATGACATCTATATTTTGTATTGTTAAAATGTATTCACTGACATTTCATACCTTATGATCCAATGAACCACACATTTTCAAATGTTGACATCTACTGATCATTTTTATACTGTTATAGTTTACAGATACTACTAACCTTATTATCCTGTAGTGTATATGTTATTTCTGCAAAATTTTTGATGTTTTTATAAGTTATAGAACATACTAAATCTTGTTGACATCGTGTCTTAAATTTGGTCTGGAATTTTACTTTCTGTATATTGTGGTCAAGGAATTTCTTTGTTTTATAGAGTAGTTACATTGCATTGTACTTTACCATGTCTATAGAAGAATATCTTGCAAATATCACTTGGAACAGTTACAGAGAAAACGTCTACTGTGAATGCAGTTTTGGTGATTTTAGAAGAGATTTGCTCTGCCGTTATGAATGGTAACATGTTATAATCCGAGAGAGCCAAGTCTTGATACTGATGTCTTGTCTTTGCTTTATTGTGTTTTTCAATTTGCTGATAATCTCTGTTCTGTTTCAACATTCATTACTTTAATTGTTCATTCAAATAAGGTTTATTTTATTCTTTTAAATTCTCCCTCTACAATAAATAGTAATAGTCCAAACACTGGTTGATCAGCTTCCTCTCCTTTGCAGTTCTATAATAAAATAGTGTTTTATTTTGTTCTGACTCCAACACTATGTCTTCTGTCTTTTTGTTTCACCTCTAACAAATTGCTACACCTGTAATTTCAGCACATTAAGTCCAGAAACCTCTTGATTTTGAAGAAATTGGGTGATTGTGCGTGTTAGGTTTGTCATTGAATTTTCACACTTCTTCAGTCTGTCACATGCTAGTATCATAAGAGCAGTTTTAGAGGGGCAAAAAAAATCAACTATAAAAATTTAAGAAATTTCATAAGAAAATAAAAGTTAATTTTAACAGGTAGTTTTTAGCTATTTCACCAAGTATCATTGCTTGATTTAACTGAATAGTTCAACAGAAATATGGCCAACAGTGTATATATGCTAGGAGGTACTAGATGATATCTCAAAAGATGTCACAACAGTGTGTAGGTTTCTGGTAATAAAGCTTTGAATGTATACTGTTAATAAAAATTTAAGGTTATTATACTAACTGAAAGTTATACAGGCTACAAGTTTGGTGAACTCTTTAAGAAAAGTGTTCTGTAAATTAGCTGCAATATGATTTTAATGATTTGTTTTTACTTGTATTTGCATGCCTATAGTTACAGATATATAATACAAGAGAAACCATAAATGACAGTGTTAAAGTGGATCAAGTGATATTTAATTACGGATAATTTTTTTCTAATCAGTAATACAAAATTTTAACAAAATATCTAAAAATGTTTAAATAAACACATTTCTTCATTATGTTCTAGGAAAATATTCAAGCAAATGACTGATAAATAAATTGCTCATAATTTTTCTTAAAAATTTGGAAAAATTATGGTCATTTTTTTTTAATCTTGGAACTTGCTTGCACATACACAACATATTGCTTTGTTGCATCAATTACAGTAGACTTTAACATAATTTTGACTTATCACTGTTATTTTTATTTGGGGATAAATATCTAATATTTTGATGATAGGTTAAATCTTTTATCTACTATGTAGTTGTAGTGTCATTATTTGAAGACTTTTTTTTTTATTAACAACATAATCAAAAGCATGTTCTGAAGTTGTATGACACTTAGTAATCATAGTGCAAGTGAAATTGGTGTTAAGTAGATGTAATTATGAGGGAAGATTGTATATTTGTACGTGTTTACAGGCTGAGATAGTATTTGTCCACTTCGTATTTTAACTTGTTCTGATGAAATCAACAGATAAAGCACTTTTACAAATTGATTTATTGTAAAATTTGAATAAATTGTATTGTTATATGTATATAGAAAAAAATAAAAATTTAAAAATTCAACCCCCTTACTATGACTCTCTTAAGGTAGTCAAATGCCTCATCATCTAATTAGTGACGCGCATGAATGGATTAACGAGATTTCTGCTGTCCCTATCTACTATCTAGCAAAACCACAGCCATGGGAATGGGCTTGGAGAACTGTTATGTATATAGAAAAATTTAAAAATGCAACCCCTTATTTTTTATAGTTTACTTTGGATCAAAAAAGTGACATTTTATATATCCAACCCATTTTGACTAGTTGTTATATATTCATTAACACATTTATCTTTGTGATTTTCTTTGGGTATCTTTTTTTTATATAGTACAAATAAATCAGACACCTCTATCATTTATAATTTGCAATAATGTTTTGTACGTCTTTAAAGTTAACACCCATTTTATATCATTTTGTCTTGATGAACTTTTTATACATGTAAATATATTTCGAGTAACTGTATGGAAAAAGTTTTTTTTGTTGAAACAATATTTATACATGTTAACTTGTTTGAAACATTGGATCCTAAATGGTACATTGTCTAAGACTGAGGTTTATAGGACTAATAATGTGATATATTAAACTGAAGGGAAGGTAGATTTGATCTGCTTATGTGTGTCACATGCTTATGACCATCCCTATTTTAATAACTCAAGTTATTTCATAAATATTTGTACTGGATGTCACAGAAACACTTAATGCCTAACACTAGTGTCACTGTAATTCTAGTTTTGATACAATAATCTATGTGATATTGATAAAAGACATTTCATTAAGGATATGCCTTTAATTACCTCAATTTTTTTGGTTGGTTGTGTGGTTGTGTTAACAGTTATTCTAACATGCAAATTTGTTTTCGTTTATCCAGATAAAGCATATGATGGCTTTCATCGAACAGGAAGCAAATGAGAAGGCAGAAGAGATAGATGCAAAGGTAGAGTAACAGATAATAATTTTTTCTCCCATGTCTACTGGAACAGTACTTTATTACTGTATGAGAAAAATATGAAGTCATAAAATTGCAGTGAATGAAATCACCCTTGTGACCTTTGATTAAGAGGGGATTTTCAGTTTCAGTTGTGGAACAATGTATTGTAGTCTGAACCTGTTTTACCTTTGATTACCATGTTTCTTTGTTGTTGTTTTTTAGCACAAGTTAATTTGTGCTCTATTCTTTCTTTTTGTTTTACATGTAAGTTTGGTTATTTTTTAATCTTGAGTGTTTTTTATGATTCATTCAGTTTAATGTTTTGTCTAGTGTTTTTTTTAAAATACTTTTTTAAAATATTTAAAAAGTTGCATCGATGTGAGTTTAATTCACTTTATTTTGGCAGAAAACAATGTAAGCTTGAACAAATATTTGGGATCTCAAGATGTCATGTTAGCAGAAATTCAAACTGTATGAACATGTTAACTTTTTGGCATGTGAAAGAGTTTTGACTTTATGTAATGGTTTGTTCTTTTTTTTTTTCATTTGTTTTACCTTCAGCTTTGAGGACATCTTCATGTTTATTTGCTTTGGTTCTTCTGTAGTTAAGTGCTCTATATAAGGTTAAGTAAATTTTAGCTTGAATCTTCACCAGTGTAATATTTGGTTTTCAGGTGTGTTCCTTTGCCAAATAGTTGATTTTTATACTTTGCTATCTTGATAATGATACATTGATGTGACAATATTTTTTAATTAACACAGAGGTACATGCCTCTAGAATTGCTAAAAGATTTCATATGTTGAGTATTTCTTTCTTTTTAAAAGGTATTTGGTAAAATTTGTATTTTTGACATGTTTTATGAGTTTCAGGACTTTTGTCATAGCAGATGTATCACACTACCCTTTTTTGATTAAGTTATAAGAAAGAGAATACTTCTTGTTTAATGCAAAACTTGGAAGATTTATTATGTCCATGATTGCTATCAGCATCAAAGCTTTTCTCTCTGTGAAAATTTGTGGCCACCATAGCTGTATCTCCCACATATGATACAGCATATTACTTATTTTACTGTTTTTGAATTGTCAGTTTCAAGTTGCTTGAATTTCTGATCCTTGACCCAGAGTGTTAACAAGAGAGGTAGTTGGTTGTCATAGGAACAATGTTCTGTGTAATTAATCACCCACATTATCATTTTTCTTTTGGAATAGAATGCACAGTTCTTGCTTGTAGATGTTACTTTAGCAGTTTTCAACAGGTTACAAATTATGAACCTTCTTCAAGCAGTACTTTAGAAATTCGGATGGGCTTCCATAGATTTTTTTCCAATTGTTATGCCTTTTTGGTTTCTTAAGTTTTCACTGATTGTTTCATCATTAGTCACCTATTCTATGGGAATGTTTTCCACTGTGTATTTTTGACTTCCGTGTGGCTCCAACATACTTCTGAGATTTAGTCGTTCTGTTTATTACTCTCTATTTTTCGGTTGCTTATTAACATGTTTTTCCTAGATGTTTATTAGATTTTAAATCCTCACTTCTCAAGTAATGTCATTTGTCAAGCAAATATTTTTACACTCTTACAAGTAGAAAAAGGTATGAATTAGCCAAGCTATACATACGTATTTGAAGAAGAAATTGCAACTTAACCTTAACTTTTGGAAGTTACTTTGCAATATCTACAATATGGAAGAATACCAATAGATAACTTTAAGACTTATTAGGTTAGATTATTTTGATTCCAAAAATTAGTCATTTATAAAGCAGTAATTTATTTTGTATGTGAAATACACATGGATTCATGTTTTTTAAATGAATTCTTGTGTATTGTTCACCTGGATATATTTTCCAATCCAGTCAAATTACAGTTACCGTTGTTATTTTTAAGAGATATAACTGAACATAATACTGTGCAAGTTTCATTACATTGTCTATTTTCATTCCCTGTAGGCAGAGGAAGAATTCAACATTGAAAAGGGCCGTCTTGTTCAAGAACAACGAGTAAAGATAATGGAATACTATGAGAAGAAGGAAAAACAAGTAGAACTCCAGAAAAAAATGTAAGCTTGAACAGATGTTTGGGATCTCAAGATGTTTCATGTTTATGCCATTAATCAGTTTTATGAGTAGGCCCAGAATGACTTGTTTGAAATAGTATCCTACACCCAGTTTGAATTTTTTTAAATCACTGATGTTATTATATAAAATAAGTATTTATAGAGTTTATGTGAATGAATGTTATGTTAATAAAATATTCTATGAATAAAAATATTGTTTGTTCGAGCAAAATTAATGTGTTGTTTTTGACATGCACGGATGCCATTTTGGAAGCTAACATTTAAAAAATTTAATATCTATGCATACTTTAAAGCCATCGTGATTATATTTTGTATTATTGGGAACTTTATAAAATGTTACAATTTGAAAAACAAAAGGGAAAAGTATAAATGATTTAATTATTAATGGACATAAAATTAAACTTTTATAAGCATTAGTATAAAAATGTTATGTAATTTTTTGAAGAACTAAAAATTAGTTTGAGGGAAATCAAAGTGATTGATAAAATGTGAAATTGTTTAATTCATTGTTAGGAAACATTTTCTTAGTTAATAACAAGGTATTATGAAAGTTTAATATTGTTAGTAAGGTAATTCTAAATTGTTGAAACAAATTGTATTTGGTAAGCACTAATGTGAATGTGTTACGATTCATACATATCTTTTATTTCGTTAATTATTTTGTAGGGCTAGATTCTTCAATGTTTTGAAATATAAACTTACACTGTTTTAAAGAGGTTATATTGAACATATCAGATGTAAATTTTACAAGAGATATGTTATCAAAGTATGTTAGTTTTTCATGATTGTTTCTCTACAAGTCAGTTACAATTATAATACATTGAACTGGAATCTGTTATGAATGTTTTCCCAACAGTCAAAAGTGAAAAAAAAAACTATTTTGATAATTTTTCTTTCCATAGTCAGAGCTCTAACATGTTGAATCAAGCTAGGCTGAAAGTGCTGAAAGCCAGAGAGGATCATATCAGGGTTAGTACTTATTTCTCAAGTACTGTAGGATAAAATTAGCAATGACTCATTTGTTATGGACTTATGTTTATCAAGATTATGTACTGATGAAATTAAGAGGAAAATATATATAGGTACTTCTGTGATCCAAAGTGATAAATCCAGATACAAATGTATAAGTATGGCAATTTACCAGCTATATTGATTCTTAAGATAGAACAATAAGAGACACCACCTATTACATCAATATGAAAACCAGATTAAACAATGCTGTAAAGTAATACTTTAACTGTTTCAGCATGGGCTTGGTCCCTGTACCAACCTCGTAACAATTTTTGCTTGTTATAGTTTTCATGTTATAACTTTTAAATTAGTAAGTGTATGTTAACAACATTTGGCAGATTATCAGTAAACATTACAATGCTTTCATAAGCAAGATATCAAATTTTTTTTATTAAGTCTTAAGGTTTGTAAAGCAATGTTTTCTCTTGCCTTTTTTTTTCTTTTCGCATGTTGCCTATCTAAGAAGTAAAGTAATTTTCATTTTAAGATTAAAAACTTTTATGTATCAGAAAATTTTCAAATTTAACATGCGAAATCTTTATAATGTCAGATAGTTATCAAATGTTTCTTGAGAAACAACTTTATATTTTTTCTGTTATTTTCAGTAACGAATCTCTGTATGGGTTCAGTAGATTTGACCAATCTTGTAACTACAAAAAATTAGGAAATAAATATAAATTATGCCTTTTTCATTCTAGAATGACAACAGATTATAACATGAAACATAAATGTTCAGACTAAATAGCTTAAATCTCATAACATCATACATTTATATATATATATTTTTATTATATTGACCTTTCAGCTGTGCCTGGCTAACATTACAAAATTGTTATACATTATATATATATATATATATATATATATATATTGCTATTAGAATATGTTCTTAAGTCATATTTTTACTTTAAACTAATATAATTAGTTTGTCTTTACTTCTTCTATTTAC